GCTGACTTCTCAATTAGCAGCTGTGGTAGTTACATAATCTGTTGTCAATTTGCAACTATGAAGAGGTAGTTTAGCCTGTCAATCAGGTCACAGCTTGATGACGCCATTTGGAGGTGCTTAAGGAGATAGATAACTTGCTGGAGGCGGGACCCGCTCCCTCCCTGCGGAGACGTTCCTGTTGACAAGACACAGGAGGCCCCTGCCAGCGCTGAGATGCCTTCACTGCCTTTGGGTCCACAAGACTTTCCACCCACTGGCCTGTGATCTTTCTGCAATTGGCATCATTGCATGTGTTGCGTGAGTCTGAGGAGGAATTCACAGATTTGTATCGAACATATGGGCTAATATTGGACTTATGGACTTGATCTGGACTGGGATGTTTCCCAATATATCAATTGCTCTTTGATATAAAAGCTCTTTCTTATACACATGATGAGCATCTCTGGATTTGTCTCTCTAGTCAACCTGGACTACACAGCAGCTCAACTTGTAACCACTACACCAGCAGGGCTCCTTCTGACACTAATTCTCAGGGCAATAGCCTGTTGTCACCTAGTACTGCAGCCACCAGGTCCCCTGGCTGCAACCTGGTTACCAGATGAAGAGGCTACTCCCACCCCTCAGCCGAGAGGGTCATCAGGCCAGAGCTTCCAGCAGATTCTTTAAGTATGTCCGTCCGGCCTGGCAGACCCCAGCACCCTTCAGGGATGGGGAGCCTAGGATGGACTGACAGAGAGCACCGTTGGACTGGTGGGTCAGAAGCTCCAGTTGAGAGCATGGCCCGGGGGGTGGTGGGGGTCTGTGCCGTCTCACTGTAGACCTTGGGAGCCCTGGGGCAGTGTGCCCGGCTCCAGGAAGAGCGCCAGCAACAGAAGCAGAGCCGACACCCATTTTTCTTGTTCTCGTCCTCACTTTGCTGAGGTGGCCCCAGGCAGTTTGTGGGAGCATCATGCTGAGGAGTCAGCACTGCCCTACAGAGCAGCAGCATCTGTGGGGACATCTGGCTGGTCTCTGGCCCTGAGCAGTGGCTGAGTGTCCTGCCGTCTGTGGCGGTGATTAGATGGGCAAGGCAGGTCACCAAGATGACCACTCTCCCTGCAGCACCTGCCTTTCAGGCTGGAGACCTCTGTCCGGGTCTGATCATGTGGGCAGAAGTGGCTGGGTGAGTCTCTGGTGGAAACTGCTGGGCTCACCCCGTGTCATGCCGGTGTTGGCCTGGGGTGACAGGGGCCATGGTGCCAGCCTCCTTACAGCCCTTCCCATAGAACCATGGTGACATCAAGGTCGACAACAAAGCCTGGTTTATTGCTCGGGGTGAAAGCAGCAGAGATAGGGCCTGGGGACAGAGGTGGCAAAAGCACTTGCCTAGGTGTCCCTGGGTTGTGGGCCTCGGCACCTGGACCTGCTGGCCATTGGCTTGTAGGCTGGGCCCCCACTGAAGTCAAGCGCCCCCAGTCCTGGGAGCTGGGTCCCTCCTCCTCCTCACAGTAGCCCGGGGACTGCCTGCAGACTGGTCTTGGACACGGGGTGTGACACTGGGCTCCACAGTGGGGGGAGGCCTTTAGGAGGTCTTCTTGGCAGAGGCTACCCCCTTCTTTCTGGGGGCCTTCAGCAGTGCCAGCTTCTTGGGCAGACTGCTGCTGGCTTTCATCATGACGTCATGTTCGATCTTTTTCCGGATGCCAACCTCCAGGTCCTGAGGGGACAATTGGGGCAATCAGACTGGTGCCTCAGGCAGAGGTGAGCCAGGGGCAGGATGGGGTGGCGCTGCACAGGACTGGATTAAAAACCATGCCCCAGTCTCTGGGCCCTTATCCCAAGCCCCCCTCAGCCTTGGACCTCAGCTTTGATACCCCTATGCACCCCCAAGTTACAGATGCATGGTGGGGATTTATGCACTCGCCCGTGGTCCCCAAACCATGGGAGTGGGGGGGACCCTGGAACCCAGCTCCTAGCCTCAGCCAGGATCTTGCAACACCCTGTGTTCCTGGGGGCCCTGATTTACAGTGGCAAGGGGTGCAGCTCAGCAAGTAAAGGCATGGAGACTGGAACCTACACGCGCTTGGGGACCAAACTGGTCTCAGAATTGTCCGTACCCCACCCCAGGTCTACTGACTAGGGCAGCTAACCCTTGCCTAGGGGTTGGGGACATGAATAATCCCTGCCCTTGGGGAGCTGACATCTTGGGAAGGCATCAAGTAAATGCGTGACCATGCAGGGCACACGCCTACAGGGCTAGGACACAAAGTCTGGGGGCAGATGTTGGAGTCCAACAGAGTCTGAAGGCGCGAGCAGGTGGCTGCCTTGGAACCTAGGCAGAGCAAAGAGCCGGGGTTGGAAGTTCTGCTGTGGAAACATGCCCAGGAAGCACTTAGGGGGCCAGCATGCTGGAGCAGAGGGAAGGAAGCGGGCAGAGGTGGGGTGGTGGTGGCTTGCAGGGCTTTGATCTTGATCTTACTTATGTGGGAGCCATGAGGGGTTCTGAGAGGAGGGGGCCTGCCCACAGCATGGATCCAGGTTAGCTTAGCAGGTTAGGGGCTGATAGCATGGGGCACAGTGAGCCTCAGGAACTGGGGAGAAGAGGGTGGGCTTTGTTTCCATCTACATTTGGCATCATTGCATGTGTTGCGTGAGTCTGAAGAGGAATTCACAGATTTGCATTGAACATATGGGCTAATATTGGACTTATGGACTTTTGGCAAAAAGATGGGGCTGATCGGATGTGGAGAAAGGGTGGGGTTGGGGATCCAGGAAGATAAGAGCGCCTGAAAGGATGGGGGTACTGTGTTGAGGGGAGAGATGGGAGCCCTTGCGGGAGAGCTCAGTGGGTTGCTGAAGTCTGAAGTCCTGATCAAAGGTCTGGGTAACACGCAGCACAATAGGATCCGCAGATGTGACCTTATGGAAACCGCCTATCTGCACCTGACAAGCTCTGCTGCCTTCCCACTCCCCAACCCCCCCCAAAAAAACCACCCCAAACCCGCAAATTCGTTGCCACGACAACACCGACTCATACTGATCCTACAACGCAGGGTAGACCTATGGGGTGGGGGGGCTTTCTGAGTCTGTAACTCTTTATGGGACTTGAAAACCTCATCTTTCCCCTCGGAGCAGCTGGTGGTTTCGAACTGCTGGTCTGGCGGTTTGCAGTCCAACGCGGAACCTCTACCCCACCAGGGCTCCTCTAGTTAGGGGCGTGAGCACCGAATCCTTCCAACCCCGGGGGGGCAGGGCTAGCAGTGGGCCCCTCGCTGGAGGGTGGGCGGGGCTGAGGCTCACATCCAGCCGGTCCGCCCAGGTCCGAGGAAAAGACCGGCCGAAGCACCCAGGGTTTGCTGCGTTCCGATCCCGCTCACCTTCTTGAGCTTGCGCTGCTGCACCACGCGCGCCTTCTTGGGGGCGATGACTCGGCCTGTGGAGACACGCGCCGCGTTACGCTGGAAGCCCCGGGGCGGTCACGTCCCCGCCCCCCTCCTCGGGCGCCAGCCCGCTCCTCACCGCCCTTCCTCGGGCCCCGGGTCCGCTCCGAGGCTGCTGCCGACGCCGCGGCCTTGCTCTTGGCCGACTTCTGCGCCTGGAACTTGCGCGGTCCCTGCGCCATGGCCCCGTGTGCACCGGCGGAGGCGGGGCCAAAGACGCCGCCGGAAGCCGCAAGGCAGGCTGGGACACGGGCTAGGCGCTGGCTCAAAGGCTTATGGGACAGAGCGTGGCACGGAATTAAAGGGCCAGACGCCAGAGTGTGGCCGACCACTCCCACCCCCACGGTCGGATCCATTCCGATTTACAGCGCCCCCGTGGGGCAAACAACTGCCCCACGGACTTTTCTAGGTTGTAATCTTCACGGAAGGGGACTATCGTGTCTTTCTCCCGCTGGCGGCAGATGGGTTCCAAACATCAATAGGGACTCATGTCAATCAAAGCCAGCTTTTATAAAATATCCCAATGAAAGGTAATAACGGCAAGTGACTATTTACTAGGCGCTGTAAAATACACGTAAAGCCTGCGAATTGTGTCTGCTCCACAGGAGAAAGATGAGGCTGTGCCCAGGTCAAAATTAGCTCGATGGCGGTGGGATGGGCGGTTGGGTGGCACAAACGTCTTATGTTCTTTGTGCCAGTCATCTACAGCCAGACACGAGCGAGGCAATAGCCTCGAAGCAAAATTAAAGAGGGTGCTAAAGTCGCAATAATTAAGTGGAAACCATATCTTAATATTTAAATCAGCAAAGATACGGCCTGTGCTGGTAAATAAAATTTTCTTGGGACCAGGGCCTGAGGGGCGAGGTGAGGCCAAGGCAGGACTGCCATCGAGTCCATTTTGGCTCAGTGACCCTGCAGGTCAGGGCAGCTTCCCAGGCTATAAATCTCTGCGGGCTCAGAAGGCCTGTCTTTCTCCTGGTAGATTACTAACTTTGTGGGTTGGAGCCCAAGGTGTAACTCACTACACCAGCAGGGCTCCATTCTGTTTCAAACCTCAGAATTTTCTCCGTATTGATTTTTTTTGCACTGTATTTTTCAAAAATGCATCAAAATATTATCTAGCTTGAGAACTGAGCTCTTTGGAATCCCCTTTATTTTTGCCCCGGAAGCGTCCACCTTCAGAAGGAGGCACTAGCCGAACTGCATCCCCACTTCGAAAATGGGAGACCCAGGCACAGGGAGGTGAATGTGAAGTGAGCTCACGGTGGGGAACGTGGGAGAACTTGGGTTTGAACTTGGGTACTGGCTCCAGCCACCACGGAAGACCCAATCCACGGCCCCTGCTTGAAGAAGCAGGGCTCAGGGTGAAGGTCAGCTGTCGGGCAGACTAGTCCATACATTTATTATAAAACAAAGGGGGCTGGCATGGTAGGGAGAGCCAGGTCAGTAACGTGTGGCATCCATCCAGGCATTCCCCCCCCCCCCACCGGCCCACTTCAGGAGATGGTGGTGGCTAGGGCTGCCCGGAGCTCCTTGGGGGCAAAGACGCCCAGTTCTGTGATGATGCCGCCGGTGATGAGGTCGTGCGGGGTGACATCGAAGGCTGGGTTCCAAACCCCAATCCCTGAAAGCAGAAGGGACACAAGAAGGCAGAGTGAGGGGTGGCATGTCTGCTCCCCTGAAGTCCCTGGCTTTGTCCACAATCTCTTGTCAACTACCCAGGGAGCACTGAGAATCTGGGCAGCCTCATCCCCCAAAAGCCTGAGGGCTCAGGCTAAATTAAGACCTTTGGCTCCCATGAGGGCGGCTTTGAAATCTGCACCAGCCCTTCTTCTCAGTTCTTCTGCAAGTGAGAAGACAGAGATGTACAATAAATAGCAAGTCTCCTAGTTTGTTCAGTGTAAAGTCTATCCCTGGCCTTTCACTCCTCAGATGCCTCTGTTAGGATCAAAAAATTCAAACTCTCTGGTATTAAGTCATTTCTGACTCATAGTGACTCGATGGGTCAGGGTAGAATCACCCTTGGGGGTTTCTGAGACTAAGTAAAAGTTTCCCTTTCTCCCCTGGAGCAGCTGGTGGTTTTGAATGGCTGACCTTCCAGTCCAACGCGTAAACCGCTCCACCACCTGGGCTCCCCCTCTTCCACGAGGATGACAGGTTAGAGAAAGCTGCCTTGCCCCAGAGGACTGTCGATGCCCCAGGTGGCACTGGCTCGCGTGAGGGGAGCCGAGACGCCTGAATGAAGGGGCTGTAGCGACCCTCCCAGAACTGGCAGTTTACCGGGCGCTGCAATCCGGACCCCACCGATGTCCGTCAGCTCCTGGCCCAGCCGCTCCTCGATGACAATCTCCTGGCCAGTTTCCAGGCGGAGGTCACAGGAGGAGCTGGGGGCAGCGACGTAGAAGGGGATGCCATGGTACTTGGCAGCTATGGCCAGCTGGTAGGTGCCCACCTTGTTGGCCGTGTCACCGTTGGCGACCACGCGATCAGCTCCCACCACCACAGCTGTGGGGCAAGAGATGTGAGGGGTCACAGCCCAGGCCTAGGATGTTCTCCGGGGGCCACCCAGCCTTGTCCCGCCCACCCACTGACCTGACACGCCCCGGTGGGCCATGGCAGCTGCCGCCATGCTGTCGGCGATGAGGGTGGCCGGGATCTGCTCATACACCAGCTCGAAGGCTGTCAGGCGGGCTCCCTGGTTGTAGGGCCGGGTCTCTGTGCAGAAGGCGTGCTCCAGGCGGCCCAGGCAGTGCAGGGAGCGGATCACACCTGCAGGGTGTGAGGGGTTAGCAAGTGTGAATGTCAGGAGGTGCCGGCAATCCTGGCTGTTTCATTTGCCGGCATGTCCTCCCCAGACCCTATGGCTCCCTCACCACCCCCATGTTTATGTCCTGGGATGGTCTTCCTGATCACTCGATTTCAAACAGCAGCCCCCCCCCCCCCCCCACACACTCACACCTCAGATCCCCTCCCCCTTAGATTCCTCTTTAGGAATCACTTATCACTTAGGAAACAGCGTCTAGAGAACAGACCGGTCGTGCTGTCTGCTCTGGCTTCCCTGGGAGCTCTGTGAGGACAGACCTTCCTGTGTTTTCTTCACGGTCTGTCTCCGGAGCCTAGAAGAGGGCCCAGCACCCGGCACCCGGCACACCAGGCCAAACACCTTCCACACTCATGGCTGGGGATTCAGAGCAACCCTATGGGCTGAGAGCGAGCCGCAGAAAGCCTCGTTCTCCCTCGGAAACAACTCATTCCCCTGGTCCCCTCGGAGTCCACATGTTGCCCACTCTCTAGGCAGGCTCAGCCTGGGCCCATGGGGTTGATCTGTGATGGGTGGATGACCCCATCAGAGTCCCCGAGATGGGGGAGACTTCTGGTACTGCGGCTGAGCCCCAGGTCTTTTTCCTTCTCGCCAACCTGGGGAGTCCGAGAGTGCAGTTACCAGGAAGGACAGAGCTGAGGGACAGGGATAGACGGGTCTGGATGCTACTGTCTGAACCCTGGATCCAGCCATACCTGAATCCACCTACCTGAGCACTTTCCTTACAAGAGCTAAGAAACGTAAGTGTGGAGAGAGCTAAAGGTGCTTGGTGGGGCTGCAGGGGCTGTGGGTTACTTAATGTGGCTCTTCTAATCAAGTCTAACTCCCACCGAATGACCTTTTCCTACATGGGTCTGGCAAGAAGCTGGGGGAGGAAACGGATAGGATCCACCTGTGAGGAAATGTGCGCAGAAGTCCCTGGACTGTCACCCTGCGGCATATAAAATAAGCCCTCTGAGAAGACGGAAGAGTACAGTGTGTTCTCTGGACCCAAGTTTCCGGCACAGTGAGTCTCTTGGATCCAGAAGACAGGTGTCGTATCAGAGGAGCAACAGAACCAGTAGCCAGAGCATGGAACAGAGTGGTGGGCTTCCCACCCACCCAGGGAGCCAGTCAAGCTGCAGGCGCTTGTGCAGGAGATTTGCTTGTGGACCGGGACACCTGTGGGCACTTAGTTGGGGAAGCTGGGCTTGCTGACCCACGGAAATGGAGTTGACCTCCTTCGGGCTGACACGTACTGCGGTGCAGTGCCTCTGGGCACTTCATTCAAGGAGCTGTGTTTGCTGACCCATGGAGCTTGGGTCGAAGGCCTTTTGGTTGAAGCTTACAGCATAGTGGTGTGCCCTTTGGGCATTTAGTAGCAGATCTTTAAGGAACTTTGTAAAGATATCCTGATAAACTCTACCCTGAGCATTTCTCACTGGCATTATGTGGGCTCTGGGTGGCCGTTGCAATGGGTATCGGAACCTAGAGATCAAGTAGAGGACACTTCTTAAGACGATACAGGGGCTTCTCTTTAAAAAGAGATCAAAGAGGCCTGACTGGCCGAAGGACAGCGGGAGGGAGGCCTGGAAGACCCCCCCCCACCCCCTGCAGAGACCCACTCACCCAGGGCTGTGCCATAGCCCGCAGTGGCCAGGGCACCAGTGTTACAGTGGGTCAGCACAGTCACCTTGCCACCCCCGGGGGCTGCGTGTTCCAGGAGGTGCTGGGCTCCCAGGTCCCCGATGCTGCGATTGTTCTTGAGGTCTTTCTCCAGCATGTCCTCGGCGTAGCAGATCACCCTGGATGGACAAGGGGTTCTCAGCAAGTGGGGAGACAGGCCGGCCCCTTATCCCTGCCCCACGTTGTTCTGCCGAGAGCCCTCCTGCTCCAGCCATCCTGGAAGACCTCCTGTGTGCCAAGGCCTAGATGGGGTGGGGCACAGTAAAACAAGCCCCTCTGGCCCCATGCAGTTGACGCTGGGATGCGGGGAGGGGTAGGGGTGAACCAACTAGCAGATGAAACAGGCAGCTGGTAGGGGTCTCGGGAAGCCCTGTGATGAAGACAAAGGCAAAACTCCCCCCAAACCTCAAACACACTGCCATGAAGTCAGTTTGACTCATCGCCACACTCCAAGGCCGGGTGGAAATGCCCCTGTGGGTTTCTGGGATTGTAACTCTTGGCAGAAGAAGCCTTGTCTTTCTCCCGTGGAAGGACTGCTGGCTGTGAACTGCTGACCTTGCGGTTTAGCAGCCGAATGTGTCATCTGCCCCGTCCCCAGGGCAGATGTTTGTTTACTTCGGTGCCCCACTCCAGCCAGGGCCACTGGAGGTGCTCTGGGTGGCATTTTGGTAGCTGTGGGGAAGAGGTCCAAGCCTGCAGTGGCAAGAGGGGCAGGAGGGTTCCCTGCAGGTACAGGCGGAGAGGGTGTAGGCTCCCTGGCCCACAGGAAAGGAAGGTGCAAAGGCCCCGAGGCAGGAGAGGCCTTTGGGAAACCCAGCCCAACCTGCTACCAAGTTGATTCCAACTCATGGTGACTACAGAGCAGAATAGAACGTCTCTATAGGGTTTCCCAGGCCGTAAATCTCTGTGGGAGCAGAAAGCCTCATCCTTCTCGTGCGGAGTGGTGGATGGTGGGTTTGAACTGCCAACCTTGTGGGTAGCAACCGCACACCAAGGGCTGGACGGGTGGCTGGTCGGTGAAGAATGCGAGAGTAAGGGCAGGCGGCGAGGGGTCCAGGCCAAGAAAGAAACCCCGAGCAGCAGAGCCCGCAAGCACAGCGAGCCGGAGAGGGGCCTGCAGACGGGCCCCGGGCCTCGGTGCACAAAAGGGCCCCGAGCTCCCGCGTGGAGCGTGCGCTCGGCACGCCGGCACCGACCTCTCTCGGACGGCCTCCTCGGTGGCGCCTTCCCGCTCGGCCTCCCGGGCTGCGGCGTCGGCCAGGTCGCGGGCGGCGCGGGCCATGTTGACAGCGGTGGGCCGCGCGGAGACCAGGTAGGTCAGGGCGTCACGCACGAAAGCCACCAGTGCGGCGACGCCCGGCCCCCCGGCGCCCGCCTGCAGCTCCACGGCGAGGCCGAGGCAGCCGACGAGGGCGATGGCCGGCGCGCCGCGGACTCTCATGGCGCGGATCGCGTCCCAGGCCTGGCGCACCGAGCCCACCGCCTCGTAGCGGCTCTGCTGGGGCAGCAGCAGCTGGTCGAGGACCTGCAGCGAGCCTCGCGAGTAGCGGATGGCCTCCAGCGTCATGGTGCTCCAGCGGTCCCACGCCCCGCTCCGCAAGTCCAGGTGCGCACGGGAGGCGGGGCGGGGCGTAACTGCGGCGAGGGGGCGGGGCCACCTCCGGAATGGGCGGGGCCTCCCCAGGAAGGGGCGGGCCTCCCTCGTCCTCCAGAAAGAGGCATGCGCACGAGCGTCTCAATCCAGCCGCCTGACAGCGCCCCCCACCGACGGGCGCACCTATTGGACCGCAGGCCCTATGTTTTACCAGTCCATCCGAACCAACCTCTGGTACAGGTGTGGGTCATCGCTCTAGCTAACAGTCAAGAACGGTTATTCCGTCGGAACCCGGACAAGAGCAGGAGGACAGAGGCAATTGTTGGGAACAAGGGAATCCTGTGTGGTTTAAGATCAAGGAAGGTGTGTGTTAGGGCTTAGATCCTTTCACCATACTTAATTTGTATACTGAGCAAATCATTCCAGAAGCGGGACTGGATGAAGAACATCAGACATCAGGATTAGAAGAAGGCTGACAATTAACCTGCGGTATGCAAATGACACAATCTTGCTTGTTCGATGGAAGGGCTTGAAGCACTTGATGCGGAAAAAGTACAGCATTCAGGATGGAGTACAACTCCATGCAAAAAAAAAAAAAAAATCCTGACAACTGGGGTCCAGAGAGCCATTACAATAAGCAGAGGCACATTGAAGCTGTCAAGGGCTTCATTCTGCAGGGATTTACAATCAACGTGCATGGGGGTGTCAGTCAAGAAATTAAATGATATATTGGGCAGATTTGCTACACAAAGATCTCTTTAAAGTATGAAGAAGCAAGGATGGTCTTTGAGGGCTAAGGTGTGCCTGACCCAAGCCATGGGATTCTCAGTCACCTCAGTCATATGAAAGCAAGATGATGCATCAGGAAGAGTAAACTGATGCCTCTGAATGGAATATTCAAAGTACCACAGAGCAAAGAAATCTGGGAGGATGGACAGAATGCTCCTTAGAAGTGAGGATGGCAGGCTTGCCTCAGACTTTGGACATGTTCTCAGGACGGCCCAGACCCTGAAGAGTACTTGGTGAAGGAAAGGGTGAGAAAAAGGGAAGTCCCTCAAGAGGTCATTGATCTCTTGACTCTAGGCTCAAACATAGCCATTATCTTGAGGGTAGTGTCGGGCCAGGTAGTATGTGGTTTTTCTTGGTTCACAAGGTTGCTATGGGTCAGAACAAGACTGAATGGCACCTAACCACCAGCATTCATTCTGAGGTGCCAACACTTGTCCAAGGTCATAAAGACAGGGTGAAATTAGGGGTCTTAATGGTGCCACCAACAGGTTGAATGTTATGAGAGCTTGGGCAAAGACAAATGTTCTACATTCACGTTGGTGAGTAGCGCCAGGGATACCAAATGTGCCCAAGAGGCCACCTAAGTAAGGCCTGTCCAGAGAAAAGAAGAGTTGATAGAAAACACGGATGGAAACAAGCAGTTCATTGGCCCACTCAAACACCAGTTTCCAGGAGTCCGAGGCCAGAAGAACTAGATGGTGCCCAGTTACCTCTACCAACCGCTCAGAAGGGGATCTAGCACATAAGAAGGTCCCGGATAGCCAGCAAAGCAAATCACTGTCATCAATTCAGTCGACTGGCAGCGTCCCTCATCCTTTAGGGCAGAGTAGAACTGCCCCTGTGGATATCAGAAACTGTTAACATTTTTAACTAAAAGATCATTTTACTGGGGGCTCTGACAACTATTAACTCTTGATAAGTGTAAGAAAGCCTCTTCTTTCTCCTGAGGAGTGGCTAGTGGTTTTGAACTGCTGACCTTGTGGTTAGCAGCCCACTGTGTAACTCTGTACGCTACTAGAACTCCTGTCCTGGATAGGGGGGGTGTGGGGTGTGGACCATAATTCAAAATCAAGACCAGGCTGACAGTTCAGCTAGAGCCTGGTGGAACCCAGGTTGGGTTGGAAGTGAACTCTTCCCACTGGCTCTGTTTGCAGCCAAACAATAGCCTTCGGCTGGAAGACAGTCACACTAGGGAAGTGTGTGCTCCTTACAACATCTACCATTTGAGAGCCAAAGGGCTGCACCTACCCAGAACAGAGTTCAGAAGGGTTAGGTGAGGCAAATGGAAATGGGCAACCGGAGGCAGCAGCAGGATAAGTGATGTTTCTGTGTTGGGATGGTGGTCTGTGAGAAGAAACACAGACATCTGTGTGGCTTGTGGGATGGAAAATGGATCTGTCAGTCTTGGACCCATCACAGTAGCTCACTGCCATTGAGTCCTCGCCTCAGTGCCAGGATAGGACAGGGTAGAACTGCCCCCGGGGCTTTTAAGGCGGGGACTCTTCACAGGAGTAGAAAGCTTCACCTATCTCCCATGGTGGTTTTGAATCAAACATTGATTAAGGTGGCCAGAGGACCAAGATTTGGGGACTCCAAGGCGCTGACAAGACCTTCCCATCCTTGTGGGACCCAGGGCTGGAAGGGGCAGGGGGTGTGTAGGGCAGACTTCTGGGAACCTGGCTGAGGGCAGCGGGCTGTTACTGCCATGGTCTGGGCTCCAGGGCCAGTTACTAGGCTTTGCTTTTCATGGCTGAGGGGAAGGTGGGGGGCATGCGTGTCCCCTGGAGGAGGACCCAGCTGTCAGGGGCTTCAGGCCCAGTTGTGCTGTCTATCAGTTCCTTAGAAACTCTCCAGCTGCCCACCCTGCCTCTCCCGCAGGCCTGGTGGGCACACCCATTCCCAGCCTCCACACACTGGGGAGCCCACCCCATGGTAGGTCAGGTCACAGGCTTTGGCTGCAGCCTGGGGTCGCTAGTGACTGGAGGCAGGGTCAAAGAGGTAGGGCTTTAATAAGGGACATGGGGTCTCATAAGGCATGAATGCCCTCATGGGACCAAATAAATAACTCACTGTTGTCGGGGGGTGGGGGGTGGGGCAAAGGGGAAGTGGGAGCAGACTCCGGGCAGGGGCTTTGCAGTTGGCCCGTGGTCATTCGCTTTCTGAGTCTGAATAGTCCGCCACCAGGGAGGCGCTGAGGGCACAGGGCTGTGGGGCGTCCGAGGTGCCTGCTGCCTCCTGGAGCGCCCCTCTCGGGGGCAGAGGCTGGTCCTGACAGCTGTCCTCTGGAGAGCAGTCTTGGGGGGACGAGTGCCTGTCCTGACCAGTCCCCTTTGGCACCTGTGGCTCCTTGGCTGTGGGGGTCTCAGGGGCATCTTGGGGGCTCTCCGGGATGTCCCGAGACCGCCGTCGGACGATGCCCAGGTCACCCCTGGTGACGGGGGACGTGGCGGGGGCAGGCCTGCGGCTCTGGGCCAGCTTCTTCAGGACATTGCCAGCCTTGCTGCTGCCCCCAGGCCCGGCTGCAGAGGGGAACCAGGAGCGGCTGATGATCTCTGTGCGCTTGAGTTTCTGCTTGTCTTCATAGGCTGCCAGCAGGGGGGAGGTGTGTGAGAGGGGGTCCGGTCCACTGCCCCCCAAGCCCCAAGGGCTCCCCACCGGTCCCCCCCCTCCCTGCACGCACTGTCCAGGGTGTGGAACTTGAGCAGGGCGGCCAGCCTGCGGTCATCCTCCGTCTCGGGCACCAGCGGGATGCTCAGGCTGGCCTTGGCCTGCAATGCCTGGTCTCGCTCCTCCTCTTCCTGGATGGCTTTCTTCTTTTCCTGGAGTGGGGGGGTGGGCAGGACAAGGGGCTCCAGAGTTGCCCCCGTTGTGTGTGGGGACCTCCTCTGACAGCAGGGTGGGCAACAGACACAATCACGGCCAACACGTGTGCTTTCTGTCCCTGGCCTCTGAGTGGCAGGCCCAGTAGTGAGCAGGTAAGACCTCTGCCCTCGGGGAGCTGGCATTCTAGCCGTAGAGTGAAGGGGCCAGGTGGCAACCTGTAGAAGGGCTGCAAGGCAGGGAACAGCCAGTGCCAAGGCCCTGAGGCTCATGTGACTGGAAGGGGCGAGCAAGCGGGAGGGCCCATGGGCTTCAGGGAAGACTTCTGGCTTTTGCTGTGAGCAGTGGCTGACCACCCCGTGGGGGAGGGGGAAACACTGTCAGCGAGGGGGACACTACAGTGACCGTCTACAAGCTCTTCCCACTGAGTGTGAGCGGGAGTATCTTCTCTGCATGGAAGCACCCCTATAGCAGGTTCTAGGGACAAAGCCACTCTGTAACAGAGATCCTGGCAAGCCTGGGCGCAGTGCTGCCGGTCCCTGTGAGCTGTCTATGGTGCTCAGGTCAGAGCCAGGGCCACCATCATCCCGGGCTCTGCCCGCAGGCGTCCTGAGCCCGGGCAGCTGCCCCACTGTATTCAGCCAGTCCCTGTGCCAACGCTTCAGGGCTCTGAGTGGCTCCGTGTTGCTGTCAGTCCTGTTTGTGAGTCTTTATCCGTGGCTTTTTGTTTCGAGCATGCGGTCGTCATGAAGAGAAGGCCCGCGTGTGGGTGACAGAGTGACTGGAAGGTGGCAATGTGCTGGTAGCCGATGGCACTGCCATTGCCCTTGCACCCGCAAGACTTGGGAACGACCAGCTGCCTAGTCACCTTGGTACAGAAACATGACCCGATTCTGTGTGGTCCGGTACGGGAGAAGGTCCACGGGGGTGGGGGTGGTGACATCGACCCTTGTAATGTCACTGCGTCTGGGGTGGGAGCCACGGGAGGGAGGGGGGGCGGGAAGGAGGGCTGAGCAGAGGGATGGGCCCTGATGGAGAGCTCACAGATTCGCCCAGCTGCTGCAGGGAGAACAGAGGTTGTGCATGTGTGTAGGGGTGTGTGTAGGTGTGAGTAGGAGATCGTGATCGGGTGGGATCGTGGATTAGAGAAGCAGGCGGACTGTAGGTGGAGCCTGGCACCTGTCTTCAGGGAAGGGGTGATTATAATGAGGGTCCAGGCTGGTGGAGTTGCCTTTGGGCTTGGGAACCCCCCTCTGGACAGAGGTCCAGCTGGGGTGGGGTGGGGTTGGGGCAGCAATCCCCAGTGGACGACTAGGGAGAGAGCTGGCTATTTGGCTTCTCTCAGTGATAGAGAACAGGAGACGGGATGGGAAGCCTGGGCACTGAATGGGGCAGAGCAGCTGGGGCACGCGTTCAGGGTGGCCACCGTCCCCGGAGCGGGAGGAGCTTCGGATGTACAGCAGGACTTCCTGGAGTCCTCAGCGATGCCCATGAGGGGGAAAACCTGTTCACACGCACCCGAACCAGGGCCCCAAACCCGACACGGCAGCACCAGGCCTCTCCGCCCCCCCCTCAGGGCTCCTGTGCCCTGCCCCAATCCCAGCAGGCTCTCGGGATGGACTCTCCCTGCATCTTGTACCATCGGGGTCCTACTCAAAGATGCCTGGAGTCCCCTGGGAGTTTCCTGATCTAGGGGACTCATGGCTGGAAGGGAACTGGGCCACCTTCTGTCCACAGTGGCCAGGCGGACCCCACCCAGCTGGGGTTTCGCTGTCTCTGAGAACCGGCCTCTCCCCAGCTAGGCACCATGGGGGAGGGAGGTGGACCCCACAGCAGTGGGGGGACACGGAGGCCGCTCACCCGGAAGTGCCTGCGCAGCATGCTGTTGAGGGCGAAGTCATCCTTCCAGGCGCTCTGGGCCTCCTGGATGTGGCTCAGCGTGGGCAGCGCCTTCTTGAGCGTGCCACGGTCGGCCTGGCCGTGCTCCAGGCGGAACATGGCGTCCGTCTCCAGCTTCTGCTTCTTCTCGTGCTCTGCCACGTGGGGGAGGGCGTGCAGGTGGGCGCCGGGCCACCCCAGCCCTCCCGGGCGGGCCTACAGGAGGAGGGCGCCGCTCACCTGTCGTCAGCACCTGCTCGTTGTCCTCCATGTCCCAGCGCTCCTCTTTCCGCTGGGCGCCGCTCACGATGACGTAGTCACAGTTGGCCGGGTCCGTCTGCATCTCGATGTGGTTCACGCACAGGTGGCATTTCATCCGGAATCTGTCCGGGACCGGGTGGGGGCCGAGTCAGGATACGGCAGCCCTCCTCCCCAAGCCTGGGACCCCGCACACGGCTTCTGTCATCCATGCCACCCAGCACCTGTCCCCCAAGCCCTTGCAACTCGCCGGGCTCCATTATCTGGGGACAGGTGAGCAAGACACCGAGTGCCGGACTGGCCTCTGCTAAGGAGGCTGAGGACTGTTCACCTGTTAGTTCAAGGCTTCATTCAACAGACCCCGCTTTATGGCAGGCTTGGCGCAAGGGGACCCAGCCCCCGTGACCAGCAGAGGACAAGCAGCGATACGAGGTGGGAGAAGGCTGCCTAAGGTCAGTGTTCTGTGGGAGAGGGGAGAGGGGAGTGTCCAGGTGTGTATGGCTCAGAAGCCGCCAGTGTGGCTGGGGCAGTGTGTGCAGGGGGGTCCGGGGGAGACCAGGGTGGGACCGAGGCAGGTCGTGCAGGATCTGAGAGTGCCAAGGAGCTTGCATGTCCAAGGGGGCGCAGGCTTCTCTCCCTCTCAGACCCCTCGTGCCCCTCACCCCACGGCTGTCCCTACCTGTAGATCGGGGTCGTGTAGTAATTGCCCACTTTCTTCTTTTCGGCGTTGTACCGAACTCCTGTGAGGGCAGGGCAAGAGCAGAGGCTGGGACCGGGACCGGCCAGGGGAGGGGAGACAGGGCCGGGCTGGAATGGGAGGGGCGCATCACTGGCTGGGAAGGAACGGGCCCAGGTGTGAGAGGCGCTCAGATGGAGAGGGGACTGGGGAGCCAGGCTCACACCCCAGCTCCCCCGACCTCAGGGCAGCCACCTCAAGTCTGAGGCTCTCAGGGGCCCTCGCAGGGACTGGCCAGGGCCCAGAGTGAGCCGGGGACGGGGAAGCCACAGCAGGTTTCGTTTCAGCTCAGTTCCAGGCAGGTAGACTGAGGCACGCAGCAGGTCGGTCGCCTGTGCAGGGCAACACAACTGGGACGTGGCAGAGCCGAGAGAGTCAGACCCAGTACCTGCCTCGGCGCCCACCTGTCTCCTCCTGACTGGACAGGGAGCCCTGGAGGGGAGGGGAAGGTGCCGGCAGGCCTGGGAGGTGGGGAGCGCACAGAGTGGGACACAGGCTCACCCATGCCGATGTGGTTCTTGCAGCCATCGCACCAGATGTTGTATGGCATCTCGAACCTGCACATAAAGAAAGCCCTGTCTGGCCAACATCCCCGGGCCCTGCCCGGTCGTGCGGGTGGCTCTGCAGGCCTGGCCGAGGCCTGGTTTCTGGGAGCCATTTTGGGGGCAGCATCTGGAGGGGGGTGGCGGGAGTGTGTGCAGGACGACGTGGGGTCCTACCTGGCGAAGCCGGCTGCGCCAGCACAGGGTGGCCCACCGGGCTGTGACCCCAAGTGGGGGGTGGTGGTCCAGAGCCCCCAGCACTGGGGCTCCCCCAGCACTGGGGCTCCGCCTGCCTATCTCCCTTCTGGACAAAGGGTGGACCGGCCGTTTTTGTTCCCGCACTTCTCCTGCTGTCCGTGGCAGGAGAGGGGCTCACACTCATGGTGACCCCTGACCCCGTGTGCAGAGTAGAACTGCTCCCTCCCTCGGATGCCCCTGGCTGTGACCTTTGGGAAGCAGGAGCCTGGGGGTG